ATTACATAAGAAAATAAAAGACGACCTGATGAGCCATAGTAGGACATTCCACCAAAATATTGTGAATTCAAAAATATCCTTTATGACAATTCCTATTCCCCATATTTGGCGCCAAATGGCTGCTAAATCTTGAAAACTGCAGAGAAGCTCATTCTGTAACAATAACGAAGTGATAAGTTCTGTGTATGGCTAAATTGGGGAGCACTTATCTACAGCCTAATAGAACTGTAAAACCGACTTTAAAAAAGCTACGAAAAAAGCTCCGATCCATTACTAAGAGCGTTGGCTTCGTCTTAATTCTAAAAACTTGGAGAGTATACACCGGAGAAAAGCCAAATATGTCTATGCTTGCGGAGGTAAAATGAAGAATGTAATATTACTCTCAACAAGCCTTGTGAATACTATTGTGGAAACATTACTTACTTGGGCTTCTTCAACAGGCGAATTCCCCAGTTGTGGGATATCAGCATTCGCAACTTGATTGGATGAAATGAGTAAATTGGAGTCGTCGTCCATGCTAAATGGTTTAAAGGATGCCAGACAAGTGTTGGTATCAACCAATGAATTAGAAGACTTATCATTGGTAATCAAGGTATCAGAGATACTAGGTACATCGGTATTGCCCATACTAGATGCAAGAGTTAATCGGCTAGATGACTGGCTAGAAGGTCCATCAGGTAGGTCATCGTTTCCACTGAGAGTTGGGTTGCCATCATTACTACTAATACTACTACTGCTTGCAATGCTTATGTTACAGCTAATATTGATGTTGCTACAACAAGTGCCACTTTTGTTACAGCTGCTGATGATGCGGTGACGTACACCAACTTCCTTTTCCTCGTTCGAAACGGAAAAGCCAAGATTAATGGATTCATGGAGGGACGGGCGCGAGACAGAGGAAAAGAAATTTCCATCGGCATCACGGCTACAGCAATTAGCACTCGATGAATGTCCTGGAGTAGTTGGCTGATGTTTCGCCGGAATGATAGTGTCTTTATCATGAAGAAAATAATTTGCTGGGATACTGGATAAGATACGAAGACAATGGCCAAGACGTTGAATACGCCCGACAGCCTGGAAGCCACCTGCCCAAGTGATAATTATCCGACGATCAACCTCCAAAAACTCTGGTCTTCTCAAAAAACGCAAAGGAATTGTAGTCTAAATGCATACCGTTAAAAAATAATGAAAGATTAAAACCAACAATATAGACTAATAGAGAAAAATATTTAAAAAAAAACACGAGCATCTACAAGTTTTATCATGTCTACCAGAAACGTCCTTTATCAACTGACAAACAAAGACCAAGAATTCTTAACATTGAGAGACATGTTTATATTCGGCTCAGATCGTGAGGGGCGCCGATATTTAAATAACGCATGAATAATCACAAAAGGGTTTAATTTAATAGGCAAATAACTTGATTAAAGATGTGAGATGAGAAAAATTCCGTGGTAAAAGAAATTACATATGCATGATAAATTAATTAAGATAGGACGTTGCGGTTTGACCTCGTCTCCGCAACATGATCATATTGTCAGAAAGACCTTGATGAAAGCCCCTTGTTCGGAATCCTCTGCCCCAATAATCACGATAATTTCCAGCGTAGTACAATAGATTTATTATTCTTGTAGCAACCAGCAGCCTGATTTTTGTCGATTTGGAACAGTTCCGTGTATTTTTATATCACAAAGCCGAAATTAAGAATTTTTCATAAAACATCCCAGAGAACCGTCCTTATTCAAGGGAGAACATAGTTTGCTCACAAGTTCAATAAATTTGAAATTTGGATATATAAACGCGTTGCCTCCTAAGTCACATGAGCATAGCCACACTCTAGTAACAATATAGTAAAATCCCCTTTCAACCTAAACCTTCAGCAGGGAAGATTGTACCGATAGGAAAAAGTGCGCTTGCCGTCGAACTCAAAACATCACTATCTGTAAGTAAGTAATAAGTTGTATGGAATCCGTAAGGAGGCTAAATATCGTAAATATGAGTAATTAACTGTCAGAAGAGTCGCTATCTGTCTTATGCAATAAGAAACTTCGCAGGAAGAAAATTCACTGCAAGTTTCAACTTAAAAATGTAGAGGGATATACATTTTCATAGTATAAATAAGAAAAAAATTAAAGCCCAAAACGTGTTAAATCGTATATATGGAGACCAAGATGTTGCAGCCTCTGTTTTGGCTTATGGAAAACAATGAGAAATAGCGCCTTGGATAAAACGTGTGCTGTGACTGAAACTAAATGAAATCAGTTATTCAGAAAGATAATACACGAATCTCTGGGGACATGGAGGAGATTTGGACAGGAGGTCCAAGTCAGATGAGCAATTCCGGCAGATTGAGAGGGAAGGGGGACAAAGTAAACAAGCAGGTGTGATAACGCCTCAGTAAAAGTTCCCAAATAGCACACGTATAGAGAAGTCACTTTAAAAGAATAAGAAGTTTTGATAGTAAGAGGGAGAGTGAGAAACGCAGATAGAGTATGCAGTTGTATCAGGACACAAGTAATGAGAACACAACCGTTGAGCAAAATGTTTCTCGGGGGATTGACTTCACTTGTCTCCTTGACGAGACGTAGATCGGTGCTGAGAGTGGCAAGGCTTACAGACAATGCTGGGAATGTAGCAAGTACACGGTTAGATGCTGGAAATAAGCATAAATACTGTTAACAAAGAACTTCGGACACGGTGCGTCAAAATAAAACGACCAAGCTGCGAAAACGAGGTCAGGCCATTTCCACTCAAAACGAGTTAAAAATAAAAGATTTAACTTCAATTTTAAATATTAAATATTAAATACACGAAAGACGAGAGCCAAGCATTTCAATAGGCATAAGGTTATATATATAGCCTGTGATTAATCCATAAATTTCGGAAAGAACACTAATACTTTCGAAAGAGTCTAGTCATTCAGAGATTAAGTGTATTGAAAAGAAAAAAGGATGCAGAGATTTGACAAATAGAAGTGTGGAAAGTAAAGAAAAGAAAGAACCCGATATTTGGGCTTTGACAAAGTTTTAAGTAAATATAAATTTGAGCCAATAGAAACAGTTTAAAACCACAAAATCTAAATGTCTTACAATGGCCCAGTCGTTCCTCACTACATCGGCTGAGACCGGTTGTGATAAGCTGAATCCTTTTTTGTTGACCCTCTTCGTAACACTTAAGAGTTAAGACTGAATGAAATATTTCATTATTTCCTATCAATGCTCTCCTCTCAAACATAAATTATTCAAGATTTACGCATTATATATTCAAATTCCAGGTTTTAAACGTGTTCGGAATGTTGACCAAATAAATCCTTGCTATTAAGACTTGGTTCTACCACTAGCCCAACCATACTCGCCTCCTCACACAAAGCCGAATCAGCCGTCTAACACCGGTCAGAAATTAACCTTTTAACTCCTCAGAGCATTTCGCAGGAATAACTCCGGGCTAAATAGATATATCCCCGAGTATCATCCTCGAAAAAGGGAGGTGTGTTGGCTTGCGGCTTTACTCTCAAACTTTCCACGCTATTACAATAGCGTCTTGACACAAAAATTGCCAGTGAAAAGTCGCGACTCGGCTAGCCGATTACCAGATCCCGTTATAGCAACGTAATCTCTGAGGGTAGGTCTTCTCAACCAACCCTTTGGGTTGAGTTGTCAGCGCCACTTCCCCATACATTGCTTATTTGTACCGCATAGCTAAATCATGTAAACATCGGTTGAACCTCAACGCAAGAAGTACCGTGCTGATCCTCGTTATATTCCAAAAGAAGTTCGCAAACGATTACTGACGTACCTTATATTTCGTTTGAGAAGGCGGATCGAAGGGATTCGTAGATTGGCTTCACCGGATAACGCAAAGGGTTGCTTTGAACTTTTGACTGATGAATTGCGCGAAGAAGACCTCGGCTCACCGTCTTACGACCCCAATGACTCCGTTCTGAGCTTTCGTGCGTCCTGTAACGGACATCGTCAAAGACAGAAAACATTATTCACGAAAAATCGCCAAAAACACGAAACCGAGAAAGATGGCCAATTAAGATCCTACTTACTTCTTATACTTCACTCTACAATCTTAATGAGGCATTCCATTATTTGGCTGGCAGACGTGTGCTTATCCTACATGCAAGTGGGTCAAAGTGATGTAGGCAGGGGAGCGGATCTAATCAAAATTTTTGTAAACAAGCTAAAGTATGATCCAGTTATCCTGGGTCTTGTTACAGCATCGTGGATGCGTGTTTGAGTGTGTACGCAACAACCTTCAGCCTAGTCTAATTGTCTCTTACTCAGTGTCTCTTCCTGTTCCCTTTCTTTCTCTCTCTCTATTTCTATTTAGAAGCCAGAGATAGTTCTTACTTAGTTTCCCACATTAATTCGTTTTATTCAGAATGTTGTTTATTTTGTTAATTTCAATCGACTTCCTGATCTTCCTCATGGCCGTGAAATCCACATATCCGGCAAAACGTCGGGATCTAGACCACTCTACATGATGTCCTGTAGCAACCATATGTTTAGCCACTTCTGATTTCTTAATCCATAAACCTTTGTAGAAGGTTATGAGTTCTGATAGCCTCTTATGTATGGGTCGACAAATAATATCACAAAGAGGCTTAGAGACCACGAGCAAATAGTTTTGAGAGTAGACAAAGGAGGAGCAGTGGTGATAATGGATAGGACCAATTATATAAAAAATATGATGCTAGTTTAGGCCGATGTTGATACGCATAGAATTATAACTAAGAACCCTACAGAAAGCAAAAATCGAGACAACAGTGCGTTAATAGTGGAGAATTGGAGAAATGGAAATTGAATGCACTTCTCCAACGTTATGCTAGACTTCCTAATGCATATGGTCCGCCCAAACTCCACAAGAGGGGGTCCCACTTAGGATCATTGTAAATAATAAGGGTGGTGTGATGCATAAAACATCACTATTCCTTTGTGATCAATTAAAGTTGGCCTCAGGTTTTTGGAAATTTTCAATAAAGAATTCTTATGATCAAATAAGGTTAATAGACGAGCAAACTATATAACAAGAAGATCTGCTAGTAGGTTTTGATGTAGTATCGATGTACACGAATGTATCGATATGTGT